TATATATATGTATATGTATATGTATATATGTATGTGTGTGTATGTACATATATATATATAATACCGACAGCAATTTTTTTTAAATTTCATTAACGCTACGCAAAAAATATTAATTTTTAGTTTTTTAAAATGCATTTTGTTTCATTTCGGTATGATTTGTCGTTTTCGAGATATAGCAATTTAAAAATAACTCTTTCTCTATGAAACATACAAAAGAGGCATTTTGTTCTATTTTAATACTACATTGTGTAAGTGTTTTTATATTAGGTTGTTTGAAAGTTGTTTAAAATCTTCTAATGTAAGTTCAGGATGTAATATTTTATTCAAAAAATACTTTATTGAAGCAAATGTACCATTTTGTTCAATGACTTTGGCTCATCTTTTGGTTGGATAACTACATAATGCCCTTGCTGCAAAACAAAGGTTTCTTATTGTAATTCTAAAGCAGTATCCTGATTGATTCATCGGCTTAAGTTTACGTCTTATGCATACTGTTACGGAATTTTGTGTGCGGCAGCCCTGATAACTAGGGGCGTTTTTTCGTTATCCAATCAGAAGCTACAACTAAGGCTATCTTCGTCTTCAGGGATCAGAAGACGAAGATAGCCTTAGCCGTGATTGCTTTTGGTTGTACAACGAAAAAAATGTCATAGCTTAACTGCGTTCACGCAAGTACGTACGTGATGATTGGTAGACTCGTGCTGTAGAGAGGGTACTCTGGGTGTGCCTTCCATTTGATGATACAAGTCGACACAAGTGTCGTTCTATCTTTGTCACTCTCTAAAAGTCAACAAGGATAGAACGACGCTTGTGTCGACTTATGTCATCAAATGGAAAGCACCCTCTATAATTTTGGCATTCTACTCTTATCGCCTCATGAGGTCAAATTTAGAGAGACTCTACTGTAATACAAAAGTACAGATAATTAATATATATTTAGTGTTATATGGAATAGTGCACTGCCCATTGAATCTATCTTTCAATGTGTGTCTAGCATTTATTATTCTTTTCGGTGTTCGATTACCAATAGTCAGTTATAAGGGAATCTCGCGAAGTGCCAAATCTCGATTTTAATGAAACTTTATATAGGTACATATGTATCTAGGAAATAAATACATAAAGTTAGAAATTATTAGTTATATGGTCCAAAAATAATGTTAAGAGATAAAAAAGATGTAGAACGATTTTAAATGTTTTTCATTATTTGTATCTCAAAAACTATTCGAAGTACCAAAAAATGTTTTATATTTAAGTATTTTATAATAAAAATACTTCTATTTAATTATGTCAGTAACATTAAAAAAAATAATTATTTTCAAAGATTCATTCCTTTACACTCTTATATGTGAAAAAATGTTTGTTATATCATACAGGGTGACTGAAAAGTATCGGACTGATGAAATAGCTCGAAAATAAGATATTTGAGGAAAAAATGTCTCAAGAGTTGTAGGAGTTCAACAAATGCATCAACATTTTTAATTTTGAGCGCAAATGTGGAGGATCTATGAAAATAAAAAATTTAAAATTTTTAATGGAAATGCCTACTTTCTATTAAATATTTTTGTAGCTGAGAGACATCAAGATTTTTTATTACTCTTGAATATTGTTCTCAGGATCATGACTTCGGCAACATATATTGAGTTTAAGATCACGGAAATTGTTACCCTTATTTTCATTTTTACGTAAATATTTTCCTACATTCATGTAAAGAGCGTTATTTAAATATAGATGCAACACACACATGATGGTGCTTTATCTCATAATATTAAAGCTTTTTATTGAAAAATGAATTAAAAAATAATCTTTTTTTTAAATAAATGATTAATAAAGAAAAGTAAAGAATCTGTACATACAGGGTATCTGACATTAGGTGGAATACTGCTTATGGACAGGGAAAACGGACTGAATTCAGTGGAAAATACCATCTTCCAATTTTAACAATAGTTAACAAGAAATTAATTAATTATTAAAGATCATTGAATGAGCGCATATTTACCCGATCTACCTCTAAATACAAACACGCGGCGAGATACGACCGCCCAACGCGGGAAGATTTTCCTTTTTTGGCCGCTTTTGTGTTGCCATTGCAATTTGTAATAAATAATTCCCCGTGCGTTTAGCAATCTACGACGTTGGCAGATTACGAGGCTGAGTGAATACGCGTTTGTTCAACGAATTAAAATTAACTAAAGTATCTAAAGGCTCAGAGAAAAATTAAAAAATTTAAATAAGTATCAGTAACAGCGCAAAATGAGCCAGATGTATGTGCATAACATTAAAATTTATCTATTGAAAAACTCAAGTTATAAAATTAAAATCCTAAACGTTTTGATTCACATTTATCGTCAGTAAGTGAAAAAATTTACAAGAAGTGTGTAAATGTGTGACGTCTCGCATAAATAAAAAATTGTTTTAACAATCTTGTTCTCAAATAAAGTTCTACAGATGTTCAACAGCCCAACAATGCTGCGTCTAATTCCTGCTGCTTACGATGGAAATTCAGAACGTTTGACAAAAGTCATGATTTATGGTTAAGACAGAATCCCAAAATTTATTTATCAAAGAATAAATGGATTATAAGATAAGATGATCTAGAAATTGTTACATAGCTTGTGTCAGTATAATTAATTTAGTAATTAATTCTCGTTAATTACTGCGAAAATTGCAAAATGATGTATAAGACTGTCCGACCTAATTGAGTCCACTCCTTATAAGCGATATTTCTATCTAACATCAGACGTCCTGTATATCAAATTTGCTATCGATAGATTATTGTTTATAGAGATACACGTTAAAAATCGTATTAGGTCAACTACTCTTACAATGAAAGAAAATATGAAAAATAGAATTTAATAAGCCTATTCTGAAATTATAAAAGAACAATTGACCGCAGTTTGTTGATCCTTTATGTGTAGGCAAAAATATTTAGGAAAAGAAAGATCAACATTTCATATATCTAAATAATATACAACAAAGATGCATTTGAAACAGAGAGAGGGGGATGGGAGGAAGAGAAGGGGGGAGGGAGGGAGGGAGAAAGAGAGAGTCCAATTATGCACTTCTTTATATATTTTAAATTTAGATAATGTCAGTGGTGCTATAATTTTGATGAATCATAATTCAAAAAATTCTTCATGAAAAGATTTTGTTTTGCTTTTAAGAATTTTTTTTTAAACATTTCACAATCATTATTTTAAAAAAATATGCAAGAAAAATAAGAAAAAAATTTACTTAAAAAATTCAAAGCTTTAACAATAACACCCTAGATATATTTATATATTTATATTATATATATATATATATATATATATATTGCTATCTAATTTTTCCTTTATATGAAAACAAATAATTTTTATCTAAAATTTTTTGTTAAATTATTTTATAAAATGATTTTGATGTCTATTCTATACACATACATGCATATGTATATACAGCACTCACATGCAGCTACAATCCTTAATTTTCTAAGATTATAATTAATTGGAGAATATGCAATTTTTGAATTTTTTTGTTACACATATCAATGTACATATACTAATTGTGTTTTAAATTTTGTTTCGTATTTAGGTAGAAGCTACACAATTTTTTAAGTTTTCCTACTGTTGAGCTGCTCTGGAGCATACCGTCTGCAAATTAATTCATACATTATCTTTCTTTCTAGGACGTTTCAATTTTATTTTGCATTGTTGTGCATGAATGTATTTGATGATTGTTAATTTTAGTTGTTTTCTAAACGTATGTATATATATTTTTAAAATGTACACTACGACAAAAAATTAAGAGATCACATATTCTGTTCTCTAAAAATAAATAATTTTCAAGAGAGCAAGGTCTCAGACGCAATGAAAAAAATAACAATAAGGAATATATGTACCCAGGGTGTTCAACAAAGATCGGAACTCCGGATTTACTCGGGAGGATGACGTTTTTGAAAGAAAACAAAAGGTTTTTTCAGACAAAGGTGGTTTCAGACAAAAGTTATAAGGTATAAAAAGATCTATTTATAGATCTTATCAATTTGACCTTGGGTAGCGTCGCCAACGTCAGATCAAATTTTTTTAAATGGAACACCTTATTTTTATTATCAGAATCTAGAGCTTTTCAAAACATTGTAAAAAAGTTCCATTAAGTATTTTCCTTAAGTACTTTTCGAGTTATACTGTTTGAAAGTTACAGTACCGCCGGCATTACGCAAGGTGTTCGATCAATGACTGAAACTTCTTAAATGTTGTTTAGGATCATGTCTTGAATTAGGTACATTCAGTTAAGATCAAGGCCATTGGAAATTATTCCTCTTATTTTTATTTATGTACTAAAAATTAATTTTTATGTAAAAATGAATAACTCGAAAAATACTTGATGAAAAGTAACTTTATTACAGGGTTTTTGAAAAGCTCTTAACACCAGCTATTATTCTGGCATCAAAAATAGTATCCTATTTTTAAAAAATCGATTTGATCTTGACACTTTTGCCACTTCTGAACTGAAAAAAGGATTTCGAAAAGTTGAGAGCCGATTGCGAGGAGATGAAAAACGATCGACCTTGCTTTTGAAGATTGAAATCTATGATTTCTGATCGAACAGATTATTTAGACAATAATTTAATATAAAACGAAGTATTTTTCGTACATTTCAAAAGCTTCGTACTTTGATAGTGAATAAGCTTGTCTTATTTTCTGTTTCATTTCACGTGCTTAATATTCCTACATCTTCTGTAGATTTTTCTAAGAAATGGATTTTTTAAATAATATCATCTATGGAATGTTAAATAGATTAAGTCATCTATGGAATGTTAAATAGAACCATTTTCACCCAATTTTTATAAGGAAAAGATAACTTAAGACATAATTCAATTGAAAAGTATCAACAAGAAAAAAATCTGTTCATATAATGTATCGAATATATATATATATCGTATATAAAAGAATTTAGAGTTTTAAATCTACTAGAACATATTTTAAGTCAATAATTTATGATTTCTTACAGAGCTACACGATTATAAATGGACATCCCGTCAAATCTGAACTTTTTACGAACTTTATAAATTTTATAGCGTCAATTAAAATTCGTACACAAAGGAGTTTATAGCTTTTGAAAGAATGAATCTTTATTTTTAATTTGCGTATTTATTATGAGCGTTGTACGACTTTTTTTTACGAAATTTATTCAATAGTGAAGTCTTTTTTACTTTGACTGCTCATAAGAGACGAACGGATTATCGTTCGGGATTCTTTAAAATGAAAACGAATAGGAAGGTTTCAATTTTCTTTTAGGAAGGTGCAACTATCATTTGTTTCGATATAAAGAAACTTTTCATTTGTAAACTTCGTTTAAATAAGGCTAAAAATTAAACAATTGATATTGACATATTCAACTTAACATATTCCTTTAATATAGAGATTATATCTATATATTATATAAAAATTCTAAACATTATCTCATTCGTCTTCTATTCTCAAACAGACGCTTTTTGTTTTAATGTTGAATAACTCGGTGAAAAAAATCATATAATACTCAAGAATTAAAGATTCACTCCTTTAAAAGCTATAAACTGCTGTTATATGTAATTTTTAATTCATACCATGAAACTTTGTAAAATTAGTAAAAAAATTTTCACATTTACAAATATTTACTTTATAAAAAAATCAGTCAGATCGTTAGTCTACTCCACATCTCTACTTTAAGAGGTCATAAGCCGTAAAACCGTAAGACATTGATGTCATGAATTACAGTCGATTATTTTTCTCATATTCAATGCGGTTGATCATTTCGTTACGGCTTTACGACTTACGGCCTCTTAAAATAAAGTTGTTAAAAACTCTTAAAAAGTACCTATTTTTGGAAGACAGAATGTGTGATTCTTGTTTTTTGGGGCATAATGTATTTAAAAATAAATCGTATGTGCATGCGTGCGTCCATTCATGTGTATGTCTATACACGCGCGCGCACGTACGCACGCATACACATACTAATCGAACTGCTTTAAGGGGTTATAGGAGTGTAGTGAATTAAAGACTAAAGTACTCTTCAACATCACATAAAATTTTTGTTAAAAAAAATAGACCAATAACGTTTTTTCTCGGAAAATCATTTTTAATAATAAGATTAAAATCCAAAAATTAATATAACAAAATTATTGAAATAATAAACCATAATGACGTTCTAAATAATCATTACAATCCGCGCGTTGCATAGTAGCTAAGATCTTAGCTTTGCTAAATTATCTTGAAATTAAAAAAATACTTTTTAACTTTATACTTTTTATTTTCTATTCAGAAGGAATTTTAAAAAACTTTATTTTTCGTGGAATTAGTCATATTTAAATATGGGAACTGCGTTTTCTTGAAAAATTTTATTTTTACTTTTATTTAAATTTTTAACTTAAGGAAAAAATTAAAAGGTGTTAGAAAACAAATTTTTTACTTAAACTATATTCAAATTATTTATATCAGCTACATTTTGATAGCTTCCAATTAGTGGCAAATGGGAAAATGTTTTTAAAAATGTTTTTATGTATCTTTGAAATTCTTTTTTTAGATCTTTGTAATTCTTAAAATCCTATAACCCTTTAGATGATAGGTTTCTCATTTTGTCACAGTTTTTTCTCGAAGCTCGAATATTATAAAATTGCAGCACTTTTGACAGTTTTGTAAGTAAAAAAAATAGCGATTTAGGACCAATCAGCATCCGGAGGACGGTCGGCGGTATCCGCGTTATTTTCTTCTACCTTTTCAGTAAAACAATTGACCAGTGACAAAAACCTGCTTCAGCCAGAACCGACGGCTAATCAATCGACTCCACCAAGAGCAACGAGTAAAATCCACGTAACAATGGCACAACCAAAGCTGTCGGACTTTACGGAGGATCCTTTTCGAGACTACCGTTATGAAGACCCTTTCAATATAACGGATCCATTCGCCGATGAGATGACAGAGGACTTGAACGCAAACGAAAACAGGGGGACGAATAAAACAGATCCTTTTGGTTTTGAATCGATTTCTGCGTTCTCGAGTAAGAACACTCCGGCTAAAATTTTCGATAATAATTTCTCTAATACCTTTCCGCTCGCTAAAACAAAAACCGAGAAGAACAATGTAAGCGATACGAGTAGCGCAAGCAAGTTCGACGTCGATTTTGGAAAAGCGTTTTCCATTGATAACAAGAACGTTCAAGATATTGATTTTTCCCAAGCGTTTGCTAATGTCAAGTCAAGAACAATCAATCTTGACGAAGCATTTTCAACTAAAGACGCAAAGACCATCGCGAGGCACGAGTTAAATATAATGCGCATTTCAAAGTCTAATATCACTTATAACGATGACAAATTTACGAACAATTTCGGAAAGACGTGGAGCGGTAATAACATAACTAATTTATCGGAGGAGGAGCAACTGGCGTGGGCAGAAAAGCAGAGTATAAAAGCAGAAGAAGAGAGGCTCAGGCGTAAAGAGAAGGAAGACGCCGAACTAGCTCTCGCTCTCGAATTAAGTAAACAGGGGAAATCGGAAAATGTTTAACCTTTAATGAATAATACTATCTCTTTTTTTTATTGATATTACCGTTAAATTATATGAAAAAGTTTTGTATCTCATAATAAATGACATTGTGCAAGTTTACATTATTATGCATTAGCATAATCACGTATAGAAGCGAAATGTAGACACAAGTTATCAGATTGACAATAATATCGGGTATACAGATATTAAAGAATATACTCGAACGAAAAAGAGAAATTATCATGAATGTTATTATATGTAGACAGATTATTTTCGATTGTGAGTGTAACTTTGAAATTTCACATATCTCTCAGAATTTTTCAAATTGTTTAGAAAAATTTATAAAAAGACTTATTTTATTTTTTCATATTTTTTATTTTTATTTTCCTTTCTCTTGATCATAATAATCGACTATTCGCACATGATTAAACGTGATCCGAGGGTGTTGCACGGCTTTTTTGAGTTACAATTATAAATGTACGAATGATAATAAAAATAAATTGAAAAGTTCAAGTTGTAAAAGTTATTCGATTAAAGCACACAATAATACAGCATCGTTAAAAGTATCGTTATTAATATATAAATGCCTATATAGTAATCGAATATTACAAGATTTCGAATATTACGATATTTGTCGCTATTAATTCGGCATACGAGAATCTAAGTCATGAAGTTTACTTCGCGCCAGCCTTTAATAACTTCATGTAAGAGAGAGAAAAGAAAGATATGTATATACACACACAGGGTTTCCCATTTTAATTTCCCCAAATATCTCGAAAAATATAGATATCAAAAAAATCTTTCAGGGTTCCACAACTCTTAACCGAGATTTAACTTAAAATATATTAAACTTCGGTTAAAAGTTAACCATGAGTTGTAAGGCTGAGCCTAAATGAGCCCCATGTCGGTTAACTTAACCGAGGTTGGTGAAAGAGACCCTAAGATGAAAGTGGAATGATTTTGAGGGGGATGTATTTTGGTCACGTTGTTTCTTTTTTTAGATTGAGTAGAGGTGCCAAAAGATATGAAGGTTATATGATTTTTTAATATAATATAATTCTTCTAATTACACAGACCGACAAAATTTAAGGGAAGGGGGGGGGAGTCTTGTGTTTCGTACTTCGAAAGATGTTTTCGTAGGATTTTGATGCGCTGAAAGCGACTACGTTGTTCGTTTTTTTCCATTACCCTCCATTTTTTAAATAATCGCAAAAACAGTTTTTTCCGGAAGTATTTTCTTTATTAATTTTTTCCAGCTAAACAAAAAATTATATCGAGGTCTGTTTTGCGGCATTTAACTTAGAAATGTTCCAACAATACTAAAAATATTTTTTCGATTCTTATAAAAATGTTTCTTATAAAAATGATTCTTATAAAAAAACGGACAACGTAGTCGCTTTCAGCGCATTAAAATCCTACAGAAACATCTTTCGAAGTTCAAAGCACAAGTTTTTTTTCCCCCCCCCCCCCCCTAAATTTTGTCGGCCTGTGTTATTCTGTAAATAAAAGTATTAAGGTCGAGATGTCAAAAAATAAATAGTTTACGAGATATTTTATATTTTACGCTGGCACTTATTGACATAATATATCAAATATCTCGTAAATTAATAACTTTTTTATAATCGTATCTTAATACTTTTATGAATACAATGAGATGAATCAATTAGTAAAAATGAATACAATGAGATGAATCAATTAGTAAAGGAAACATAATAGCTTAAAAGAAATATGTAGACGAAATGAAAACTTTTTAAAATAAACCATTATCACAATTGATTCATTATATGTATATTGTGTTCATAAAAGTATTAAGATACGATTATAAAAAAATTAACAGATTACGAGATATTTAATATTTTATATTAATATGTGTCAGCATAAAGTATAAAAATCTAAACTATTGATTTTTTGATACTTCTATCTTAATACTTTAACGTATAGAATAATTAGAAGAATCATATTATATTTTTAAAAAATCATACCATTTAAAAAAGTGGAGATGGCTCTTACATTTTTTTATGTTTACAACTAGAAAAAATAATGTAACTAAAGTACATTCCCCTCGAAATTATTCCACTTTCATCTGAAACATTATTCTGTATCTTCTATATTTTTTGAGATATTTGTCTCGGGAAATTAAAATAGGACAACTTATATGTATGTACGTGTATGTGAGTGTGTGTATATGTATGGGAGTGTGTGTGTATACAAGGTGTCTTACAATCGCCGTATAACACTTTTACAGCGTCTTCTAGAATAAAAAGCCTAATACGAAAATGTTGTAACGTATATATACAGGGTGTCCCAAAATGGTCGGGACACCTAAATAGCTCGGAAAATATAAGTTTTACACAAAAGTGTTTCAGACAAAAGTTATATAAGGTTCAAAAAGATCTATTTACTGATCATATCCATTTGACTTTGAGTGGCGTCGCCAAAGTCAGATCAAGATCACTTTTCTGTAATACTTATACTTTCCATGATATTTAGGTGTCCCGGCACTTTCCGAACACCCTGTGTATATACGTATACTTCATTTATTTATATATATATATATATATTACAAATTATCTTTGATTAATTATAATTCAAAAACTATTGTAGCTCGACATTTTCATATTAAGATTTTTTACTCTATTTTACCTCTAGAATACGTTATAAAAGTATTGTACGGTGGTTGTGAGACCTTGTATGTGCGTGCGTGCGTGCGTGCATATATTCATGTACAATCGGTGAGTGAAGTATTAAAGTAATTTCTGTGACAGCGTCTAATTCAATTTTAGAACGTCCCAAAGAATGTAGTCGAAGGCAAAACGTTTCTCTATGCTTGATGAAAAGAGCTCGTTATTCTATAGGACTCGAAAAAACGAAGCACAAAGACTCACATGTGTCTTGGCTACATTGTAATATTGTATAATTTTGACAACGACATTATATATATATATATTTCATATGATGTATATATTAATATATTGAGATACATTAAGTCACGATAATTCTCTCATTGCGTAAGTTTTTATCATCACGTGGTAATTGTTTAATTGTAAGTTAGTACACGTACATTGTATGCGCAGATGTGTGTTATATCATTAATAATATCAATGCAAAAAAATTTATGTCGATATATATCCTTGTATTACTACATACCTCTATTCAGTTCAACTCCTGTTCATTATGTAATTTTTATTTTATTTTCACATTTAGATGTTAACATATGTCGTGTGTACGTGAGTATGTGTATGTACTGTCGTAGGTACATCTACGAAAATTCCACCAAAATAAATATACGATACTTTCAAACATCTATTGCTTAATTTATACATATGACTCGTTTTATCGATAAATTAAGTAAATAGGGTAGGTAGGAGGATTTTAATTCGTAAGCTCGGAGGGTGATGAGGGGC